TTGTACTTTTAGTCAGTATAATTGACGCTCATTGTGGGTTCCTGGTAAAGTTAATTTGGATCACACACATATTATCTATATGTAGTTGCTTTCATTATTGTTTCTCCTGCAACTAGAAAATAGGTGTAAGCTGGTGTTGAGGAACCCTAAACCGGTGGTGAAGATCTCCGATACGGCAAGGAGGGGATGAATCTGCAAAGTTAGCACTCTAACACCCAACTCAGTTAAGAATTCAAGATGGGTGTAGTGAAAAGTGTATATTTGAAAGTGTATTTTGCATCTGTGTGAGATGACTTTTATACCTTGGATCATGTAGAGTGGATTGGCATAAATTTAGGCCTTGGTTTCTTTGGGCCTTTGGCCAGCCCAAAACTGTTCCCCCTAAGGCATGTCAAGCATTTAAGGAGTCAAAAAAGTCTTTAGCAGTCGTGGTCGGTCTCCGAGGGTATTGTTTGCTTTGAACTAGAAATGGAAACACATATAACCAGTTGAAAAAGTAGTATGGAACAAGTGTATTAAATGCATTTCCATCACTGAAACGTTTTGTTGCTTCTTTCTTACATGTGGACTAGAGGACGTGGCATTGCTTATAGTGCACTCGAGTTTGTTTAGGTATCCAAGGAAAATTCAATCATTGATTTTGTAACTTCTCTCTACAATTGAAGGACACGGTGTTGCTTATAGTGCACTAGAGTTTGTTTATGATTTTTCCTTACCATTTACCATTCTCAGCTCAAACTTTTATCTTCAACATTTTTTGTTCTTTGTTCGAGATTAGTAAAAGCCCTATTCGTATAGCTAGTGATTCCACGAGTGATGTTTCTTCTGTTACAAGATCGGAAATATTCCCTGACTCAAACCCCTCCCCCCTTGCCAATGATCATAAGGGTCAAAAATTTATATGCTTAAATGATTATTCTAATTCGGAAAGGGTGTCTGGGAACTTCCATAATAAGAAATCTTCTGCCAAAAATTATTTCGATGCTCTCTTGTTAAATGATGATGTTGGGGGGGGGGGGGGGGGGGGGGGGGGTCATTGTTCATATACCCCCTCCTATTTTGTCTGCTTCAGAAATACAGATCATTAAGTTGAAGAGAGAACACATTGGGGATTTCATTCAAGTTTACCGTAGAACTTACAATCACGGCCCCAAAGATGCTGAAATCAAGACCCATATGGACATAGTGGTATACCCCACATAGCTTCTTGGCTGAAGCCGACCGAGCATTTTAAAGTAGATAAGTTGTCCCAGAAAAGGGTGGAGTTATTAGAGTCGTTCGATGCGAGTAAGTATAGTTGGGTGGATGCAAAAGTTGTGAGGACCTCATCTATTTAAATATCGAAGTAGTCGTAGGCGTGATCGACATCATGGTGGGTGATCCTTAGATGGACTGGTCTTTCTTATGACTCAGGAAAAAAAAAGATGTGTATTTCCTTCGACGAGTGTTTGGTTCCCTTTTATAAGTGTTTATTCACTGGGATAGGATTGTGGTTGCCTTCATGTGAATTTGAGGTGGTCTTCCTAAAACACTTGAATTGCTCCTCTCAGATTCACCCGGGGTCCTAGGCCTTCATGAAAGTGTTCTAGTTTTGGACTGAGCACAGATCTTGGAAGCCTTCTCTCCAATTGTTATTTGACTTGTTCTACCTCGTGCGTACCTCCTAGAACGACGTTCATGACTAGGGGTTTATCGCCTTTCACTCGGATTATGCTTGGTTCAGTCCCTTCACAAACGATTGAGGAGATTTTCTTAGGCGCTTCACACTGGTAAAGCCCCTTACTCTTAAGACTCGTCTTGATTTTTGCTCCGACCTACCTAAGTTTTCTTTCTTTTGTAAGAGTAGGTTTCAAAAGTATTGGTATTGGTCTCATTTTCATTCTGGAGTCAATTCTTACTGCCTCAAACTAGGTTCCTAATCCGCTGAATATGTAACAGTGGGGGAATTTAGAGTATTTGTACCAAGGACTTGGTTATCAATCAGGACTCGGCTCTGGCGACGTGTCTCTTCCCTATAGAGGAAGAAAATAATTGATATCCACACCATTGTGAGTGTGGTCGGTCGCATAGAGAAGAACGAGATCTTTGGTGAAGATGGAGTACTATAGTTTTTCTTTACATGTGTGATTGTATCTTATAGATAAAATGGATAAGTTACAGATGATATATTCGTTTTTCAATGCTCAAGGCATCAAACATGGTTTTGCAGGTTGGGTTGTTATACCTTTAACTCCAATTTCTACACCTACCCCTACTATCGAGGCAACTATAGCTACCATTGAGGTTGATCAGCTCACCACTACTACGGTTACTCTATCTATGGAAGACCCTCCACAGTCTCTTGATCTGATGAAGAGGGGTCGAGATAAGGACCAACACTCCTATTTTGAAGGGGATTCTCGTAAACGGGGCCGTCTTTATGGGACGTTGTTTTATGGTTGGTTACTCCTTTCTTCTGCTTTCCCATCATTCTTTCCTCTCAGATTCCTTGCACTCCCAAGATAAGGAAGTGCAAAAGTTGTTTTTGCTATTTTTATCCGAATTTAATTTTCCCCCACGTATTTTCTTTTCCTCTCTCTCTCTCTCTATGCTAACATGTCCTGGTCCATTTTTTGTTGATGACAAAATAGAGAGAAACTCGTGGGAGTATTTAAGAGGATAAAAGTATTATTTTAATACTTTTATTTACCTGAACCCTAATTATTTTTTATATAATATTTCTTTTATCTAAACATTAATTTATCAAGATAAGTTTAATCACCTTGGATAGGACTTAGGGGGAGCTTACAAAATTCAACCTTTGGACTATTAAACTCAGAGGGAGCTTACAAACCTTAGATTATGATGTTGTCAAGTTAGTTAAACTGACCAACTATTATTCTTAAATACATTTATTTGTCATCATCAAAAAGGGGAAGATTGTCGGAACAAAATTATTCATATCCATTGACTTTTAATGATAACAAAGTACTTAAAGAACAATTGAGTATACTAACATATGTTCAAGTGTGTAGGATCACAAGCTTAGTATTCAACTCTAAATAGACCTTGTTTATAGCATCTGTGGAGAAACAAAGTATCTCAGATTCTGGAAGATTAGAATCTGATGACTTTGAAGGATCGGACTTTGAATGTGGTAGTTCTACCTCTGAAGGTTTAGACTTTGATCATGGTATCCATGCCTCTAGTGACAGCTTAAATTATGATTACCATAACTAAAGGTGTTCAACCTCTTATCTGTACTTTGTACCAAAAGGAGAACAATATTGTCAAAATGCTAGAGTTTGAAGAGAGTCAACAAGAATTTTGTTTTGCAAGGCTCAAGGAATGGTGATGTGACCCCTTCAGTTTGTTCTACCTTTTGGTAGATACCTAGTACTTAGAAAGATGTTGTGAACAAAGCTTTTATTCATCGGACGTTGTTCCTAACCAGATACATCCTCCAATGTCTCTCTTGGCATGCTTCTTCACGAAGAAAGCTCTTGTTGATACAAGGGGACTGGATTACACTCAGTTGAAGAGAGGAACCAGGATAAACTTTGTGTTTTACTTTTCTTATTTCTTCTGATTCATATTCTCTCTACTGTTATTATAAACTCTGACATTAGACTCTGAACTTTGTTCAGACTCTAAAGTTGCTTTTCAAAAGCTAAACGTTTTTAAAATACATAATTCAACCCTCCCCCCTCCCCCTTCTTGTGTATTTTTCTCACCTTTAGAAATCATTGTCAAACCTTATTCTAGAGCACCTTTCAAAGGCTCTAGATGGATCCCCATAACATTGAATCTTTTCAAGGGTCCTTGATTGGCCTGTCAGGAGAACGGGTACAGGTCATGAGCCATATAACCCTTGAAATAACATTCTAGGGAGACATGCTCTCAATCTACTTGGGATTGTTTTGTCCACCATGCATTTAATCGTAAAATACCCATTACCTAATGGGCGTGTGGGTATAGTCAGAGAAGAATAACATGATTCCCATCTTCGAATTTACAAAGACAACTTAAAAATTCAGCCTACCTTCTAAAACGTGTTTAAGAGTTATATTGGATAACGTCGAATCAAAATTAATTTTATCTCATAAGTTTATAACTAATAAAAAGAAATTTAAATTAAATAATCAAGTTTGAGTGAGTAATAAACTCCAGTTAAAAACAAAATCATTAGGAAACCCGACTAAAAGGATTGTTTGATTAAACTTCACTTGGCTTACCTAACTCCAGCCTACCATAAAAACCAGAAAATTAAGATAAAAGAAAGTGTTACACTGAATTTTTCAAGCTATATTTGTCAAAAGCTAAACCAAACATTTCCCAAGAGGAATCTATGATTTGAATTAACATTTCACATAAAATTGTTTGAAAATAGATTCAGTGAAAGCTCAGCTTCAAATAAAGTATGTATACTTGCATCATAGTCATGTTTCGCCAGTTCAGCTGGGCTCACGTACAAAGCTTCTCAAGGCAAATTGCCAAAGTTTTAGCTTTGTTTAGGGCATTAAACCAAACTATGAGAAGTTTCGGAGGAATAGTTTATCGCTTTTAATTGTAACTTGAAAGCACAAATGTCCCCAAGCATTAAACTAGAAGAAACAAAAAACACTATGCTTCCAAAGTCTAACAATTACCGTTTGTAATGCCTGACAGTGCAAATTGGTATAGACAGCACAGTAAAGATAATTGAAAGGACCTGCTTCCAAAGTCTAAACAATCTGCTTCCAAAGTCAACAATTCACCATGCGTGAAAGAACAGCAATATATAGGAAGGCAAAATTTTCATTCAAAAATAATACAAGTATTCTCTCTACAGGAAGAAAAACAACTCAACCGAAACAATGTAGGTTTTCTACCTCGCAACTATAGTCTCTATAGATATTTGAATTTTAAACAGATAATTTAGTCCTTCTAATAGACGGAGCGTATATTCGATATTTTATAGTTCACTTCAACATTTTCGAATGACATGAGGTCAATCACATGGGTTCATCTTCCCATAAGTCTCACCAGCTGCTCATTTGCATTTGAACCTTAGAACTGTGAGATGACCTGCCACCCTTGTCTTTGTAAGAATTCCTGGATGCAAGTGACTTCCGTCCTCTACGGGATGATGCTATAGCTCGTTGTCTTTGCTTGCTTAAGCTCTTTGTGAGTTCAGCTTCAACTTCCACTGCATTATCATTGTTTTCCTCCTGCAAATCAAATTAATATCATTATGGTTTTCATGTAAAGGCTAGATTAACAAGGTTTCTATAGATTAGAATAATATTAGTTTTACTTTCAATAAAAATTCATTCATCCGATCTTGACAGAAAATTTAACCAAATCAATTCCCATTGCACTTAAAACTTCTGGAATATTTACAGAAATCCTTGTTAATAAATAAGGAAGACATTTGCTATTTCCCAAAAAATTCATCAAGAGGAAGAGCAAATCACAGAAATAACCACCTAATAAAAATGATAGAAATTAGCTTTACCGTATCATTTTCCTCTTCCTTTTCAGATCCGCTACTTTCACCTGCTTCAATGCTCTCCACTTTTCCATGACTTTCATGTCCCTCGTCCTAAACACAGTTTCATTAAGAATCCTTCAATAAGAATTATAAAATCTGGGATTGCATAACTAGTGAAACAAGCTGAAAATTTTGAGGAAGGCTGTATATGCAGAGTAGTCAATTAGTGAACAAAAAACAAATCTTAGAAAACTACCACCAGACATTCAAATTAACATCCCACACTTCATTTAGAATATCACAACAGTTCCCACACTTAATCTCAAATTCAGAGCAATGAAAACTTAATTCATCCTCATAAAACCCAGAAAGCAAGTTGATATCCTTCCTAAGTTCTCCAGTACTAGTATCCTATTAGTTATGCCATGTCATACTTCTTTACCGGAATGCGTCTATTTTCTCAAATGAGGATATCAATAGGGCTGCACTTTTATCCTAGTTTTGCCTTGGAGTTGGAAGTGATACTTGAGGCATGGTTATCTCGATATAGACCATAATATCTTAAGTTTTTAGGACCTCGCCCACCCCCGACGATCCGTCCAGATTTTAAGTATAATCGTGTATTGTAGCAAAATCGCTGCAAAATCATAACCTTGTGACATCTTTGATTTTGTGAGATCCTGCCCAGTTCCTTGCACGATCCGCCGCTTTCTGGTCACCACCATTTCAAGCCGAGAAGGATGACATGATGCAAAGGCACAACAATTACGATTCGGTGGTGGGGAATGCACGTCTTTTGAAATGATGAAGTTTTAGATTTAGGATAACATCTCAGTTGTAGGGTTGGTTATAAATAATGGGCTCATGGTAAACCAAGTAACAGGCCAAATATGTCCCTAATGTCTAACAAATCTTTACAGCAGAAAATGGTAGTAAATTATAAGAACACAATAATACACGTGTAAAGAATATGAAAGAGGGTTATTCCCCCCAAATACATTTGCCTATCAAAATATTGGGTAAAAAATACTTCAAATACTTAGTATCATTTTTTTATTAAGTAGGATCTTGTGATTTTTGTAACAATCTTGCTACCCCCTCTTGATCTTTCAAAAATAATAGGGTAAAATCTTCCGATCTTAGTTACGATCTTATATTTTACTATCTTACTACCCTCTCCCAATCTTACGCAAGATCTCAATCTTGACAACCTTGATTTGGAGAGTGTCCTCTCCTGATCTTATGTTTGTTGTCATGCAAATGAGTTTGGAGTACTTTTGTTAGTTAATTTATTTTTCATTCAAAAAAAGAATTATATCGTGCCATATTAGAATCAAGGGCATCAGCAGTTTTCAGAAAGGTGGGCTATTTGTTTTATCTTGTTGAGAAACTATTGATTTATCTCTCATTACATATACTTCACTCCTAACTAATTCTATCAAATTAAACATAGAATACACCATTTCCCACAGCCTGTACATCTTTTATGACAACAAAGCTAAAGGATATATTACCTGCTCCAACAAATTTAAAGAATCAACATTTAACTCGTCTGATTCATTCAGGTTTCTCACCGAGTCACCATCTTCACTATCAGAATCCATATCACCTTCCGCCTCACCTTCAATAAACTGCAGATAGATTTGAAGAGCTTTGAGGCAATATGAAAAATAAGATAAATGTGTCACACTTAATGCATTATAACTAAGAAAAACCACCATACCCTCTGAATAACTTCCTCATCTTTTCTACTAAAGCCACTTGCAGCAAGTTCCTTATCTAGAAAACCAGCACTTCTGTCTATTTCTGAAAAACAGAGTTTACCAGCTTCGTCTCTCTCTTCATCAGAATCGTCGTTATCATCTTTGTTTTCTTGAAAAGACAAATTGAACCTAAAAAAGAATAAAGGGACTAATTATGAAGACATCTGGTTTAGCAGCCACAGACAAGATCCAAAATCTTTCAATAAGCTAAGCAAAAGATAAATTAAACATTCAATCAAAATAAGAGATGCAATATGCTAATAGTGTATAGTAATAGTAGTAGCACATTCTAAAAGCAAATGACAAAATAAATATCAACACTAATCAGTTAAAAACCAACTTATAAGCAGCAGAGATGCCAAATAGAAAATCAGGATCAGATCAAGTAGCATGAAAAAGTAAGGAAACAAGAGTATGCTCTATTTTTACTGGCCCAAATTTAATAATTTTTTAAATGCAACACCCCTCCCCATTCCCTAAAAACCACGCAGTGAAATTCACAAACACCTAATGCCAAAGTAACTACAAACCTCTTTCTGAAAAACTTAAAGATACATTCAACATCTCGATCGAAGTACCTGAAACAAGGAAAAATAACAAGCAGTTAAGGCCTAAGGAATATATATCAACTGAACATCTTGAAAAATAAGCAGAATTCAGAGAGATGCAATCCCATACAAGGAAGAGAGTCTTACATCTTTGCATTACGGTGCGACACAGACACCATTTGCGGAAAATCAATCACAGTAATTTTTTCTTCATCGTCAATCTACAGTGAACGAAGCAAGATTGTAAGCCACAAAATTAATATATAATGAAAAAAATTTAGTACTCTATTTAACGATAATACAGACAAGTCAGCATAAGTTATTCAAGCATACCATGATGTTAAATTCATTGAAATCACAATGAATGAGACCATGCTCTGCTAGCCTAATAACTATACCAATAATTGTCTCGAAAACTGTATCTGGATTTTGTAATTGCTTCACCTGAACACTGCATTTGCAGAAACAAGTGTAAATATGTGGAGGGGGAGTAATGGCACAAATCCTAAAATTTTTAGTCCATACCAAAAATCCAGCTTAAGAACAAAAGATTGTTAAAATTAAAGTATATGAAACATCTCATTATGTTTGAACTATATGCGAGTAATTTAAAATATCTATTACTCTCTTCGGCGTGTTTCTTTAGATTTTAGAATATATTTCATAATTTAATTATGATTAGAAGCCTAGTAGTTATCATTCTTCGTTTTATTTATAACTAAGATTAAGAGTTGAGAGGCTTAGTAGTTAGTTTTTTACATCAAACCATAACCCCAATTCAAAACTATATTATTTATATTTCTTCCTTCCTTATCTAAAACCCAACAATAGAGAGAACATTAAGAGTTAGCAAAGATAGTTTAGTGGCAACTACTACTACAACTAGTGAAAAGAAAATATGACCTAAAATTAAAATTTGTGGTATTACATAAGAAATTTGTATTAGACTTATCCTGCCTGATACACCAAATAATCCAAAAAGAAAGAAACTGGCAGTGACTATGTTCAGAGATGATGTACCAATACAATATAAACCACAGTGACTACATGCACTTTGGCAACTAAAGCTTGTGCATCCAAGGCTTTAGGACTGTGAGAGTCATTAAACAACTAACTTACTTAAGGAATGCTAGATATCCTACATAAACATGATGTAAAAGCAAGGATCAAATGGTCAAATCTCAGGCATATCATGGTATAGATGTAATATCAATTCATAGACCACACACTTCAAATGTTATACTTATACAATTCTGCCGGTCACAACAAATAAATTCCCTAAGAGTACTTACAGCTTAGCAATTGTACAACCAGAATATCCAACACCATCAGAGTTAACTTGAATGTGACCCTAAATGAATTTTATGATTGAAACAAAATGAAAGGGCACTTACAGAGGATAACCTTGGACGAGTGACATGATCACACAATGTCGATTATGTTCCAGAGCATTTGGAACGGGAAAACCATGTGTTTCCAAAGCCTGCTCAAGCAAATAACATGTCACTCAAAAATCGGGCAAAAAAAAGAACAATTCAAGAATATAGCTAGCTAAAAAAACAGAGTGGACAGGGAAATCAAAACCTTCATGAAAGCATATTCTTTAAGTGCAGCAAGGCGAGACAAATAGAGCCAATTAAAACTACTACGATGTCTCAAGTAATCACGCTTAGATTTGACGGCTCTAAAAGAGACTCTGCCAAGCCTATGTAACTTCATAGCTAGAATTGTTCCATCTTCCTGAGCAACCTCAAATATATCTAGCAAATCGCAAATTCCACAATTAAGAGAATACAATTGAAATGTCAAACATCACCACCATATTAAAACTTTAAAATAAGTACCAGATTCCTTTCCAACACCAATCTGGCGACCAACAGAGACAAACACCCCTTTATTCACCAATGTTTTGATGGCAAGAAAATCATAACCAAGGTAGGTAAGCCGAAACCCATCATCTAAAAGAAAATTAACCTTTCACATATCAGATTGCCATTGAAATAAACTTGCATATATTTTTTTCTCTCTATTATAAATGATTTTTAATAATTTAAACATATGATTTTTAATAATTTAAACATAGATTAGAAGGTACCAACATTTAGAAGAGTCGTGATGCAACAATTTATGCTTAAGCAAGTTTTTCAAAACCTTGTAAGTGCCTCCATGCCTATAAATCACATAAACATCAAAAACAAAATTCCACGATAATAGCTATAATTATAAGAAGGTTGAATGTAAAAAAGCATACTTGAGACGAGCGATTCGGTCAATGAGTTCAGTAGGTACGATTTCATGCTGAATCAAAGGAAACGATGTTAGAAAAGCACGTTATAGATTGGCATTGGAATTGAAATAGAGAGAAGCACTTACGTTTCTCATGCCCAATTCAACAGCAGTGAGAACCCTAAAATCATCTTTTGAGAGATATCTCAAAGCGTCTACGTCGAGTTTCATTCTCTCTTGTCAATCCCTCCGCAGAATTGATTCTGAAACTGCTTTCACTCACTGAGTCGATGTGAGAATTAATTCTGAGAAGTGGAAAAAACGCAGTTGCAGAGAAGTGATTCTGAGAAGTGCTTTTACTCACTGAGTAGATGTATTGAGCTTGGGTGCGAGAAATTAGGGTTACAGTGAATCGGGTTGATTGTGTTGCCGGGTTTGTGAATTAACTAAACCCTAGCATACATACACACAAAAATATTCCAACGTGATTTTGAATATTTTAATTAAAAAATATTTTAATAAATTCAAAGGCTAAAATTTTCAAAACACAAGATTTTGGAAAATCAACATTTAAAATTTTCTAAAATACATTTATATTTTAAAAATGAATTTAATTGATTAAAATATTTTTACATTGTCAGTTAATCACAATTATTAATTTATTTAAAAAGTGTGACTTTAATTTTAATCAGTTGAAAAGTAATACTAACAGATGATCGTAATGCATTGATAGTGTAAAACTTTTTACATGCATATCAATTAATCTCTTTAAAAATTTTAAATTAGTTTAATAAAATATTTTATATTTTTAACTAGAAAAAATATTTTTGATAAGTTTAAAAATTTTTTTCTTTAAAAAAAAGTTGTGTATGGTTAAATTCAAGTTTGTTTTTCAAAATATAAATATCTTATGATAAACTTAAACTTTTGTTTTCATAAATTCAAAGTTTAAGATTTTCTCTTAAATTGTGTTTTGAATTTTTTTATTCAAGTTTAATGATATTAAAAAATTAAGTTTCATAAAAATTTTGATAAATTTATTGATTTAAATTATGAGATTAATTATTATACATTGTTTATGTAGAAAATTTTATACTATCAATTCATCACCATCATCCATTTGTATTATTTTATGTATGATTAAAATAAAAGTTAAATTTTTTTCAACATTCAACGTTTACGATTAATTAACGGTGTAAAATTCTTTTATATTGTCTGTATATTTTAATTAATTTTTTAAATTATTTATGTAAATAGCTCAATGGTGGTTTATAAAAAATGTGAAGGTTAGAAAAATATTTTTGTTTAAATTTTTAATAATAAACATAAAAGCTAGAGGTTTTTTGTCTTGACCTTATTTTATTTTCTAATTACTAATTACCCTTAACTTTTAATAAAAATAATCAACTTTATTTAAACTTTATGTGTATCAAATGCTTAGAAGACCACGGGTTTACTTTTTTTTTTATAATAAGAAATTCTAGTTTGGGATATTTTATTTTTTATTAACTAAACATTAATATTTTATGTGTGATTTGTGCTCTAGTGCGCATATGAAAAAATATGCACATTTGATCTTTTTTCTCTCACTTTTTAAATTCGTAACAAATTAATAATATTCTTGGGTGGGATATGGTTTTTGACGCGCATTTATTTGTAGATTATAATAAAAGTAAAAAATTGAAAAACGAAAAAAAATGTAAAAATAATAGTAAATTTAAGTTGAAATAATAATATTTATAAAAGATAAAATGTAAACAATAATATTATAATTAATATGATTAAAAATAAAAACTATTGAATTTTGTATCAGATAACTTAGTCGATTTAGTTTTTTACAAATAAGACAATTATTTTATACGAGATAATATAATTTTAAAATATCTATTAAATATTTTAAAATAAACTCCTTTAATCTTTTTCACATATTTGAAAAAATAGTCGATAAATTTTTATTATTCAATATTTGTTTCAGTAGTTTTATTTTTCTCGTTTTATATAATTTTCACGATATTAAAATTTTATTGACTCACTACATAATTAGGTTAGTTGTTTCATTTTTCCCATTTCATATAATTTCAACTATATAAGACAATAAAATTTATTAAAATTTTATTGACTCACTACATGTTTGAATCAATAGTTTCATTTTTCCCGTTTAATTTAATTTCCACAATATAAGCAAGTAAAATTTATTAAAACTTTATTGACTCACTACAAACTTCATTTTCCCTAGTGATTTAGTGACGTGGTAATCACATGGTAAAAAAAACACGTTGCCAAGTGATTCCCACGTCACTAACTTATTTAAATATTAAATTATTCAGACCTAAATCTGCCATCAAAAATTGGAATTTTAAGAGAGAGGAAAGTTTGAATTTTTAAAAAATTCATTTGTGACGTGCATAACACATGGGAACTGAAAATTCAAAAATATCATTTTATTCCCACGTGAATAATAGGTCACAAGTTACCCACATACAATTCATTGAACATGTCGCAAATCTCCCTATATATTAATTAGCCAAATTTTTCTTCAGCATCCCTTTTCATCTTCATTTGTTTCTTCGTTTCTTCTTCACAACTCCATTTCTCTCTTCTTCACCATTGTTGCCTCCCTCACAACTCCATTTCTAACTAAAATTTCTCAAAAAATTTAAGTTGACTGGTATGTATCTTGTTTTTGTGAATGTTTTACAGTTTATTTTATGTTTATGTTATTACTAATTGTTGATTTTTTTTTTTCAGATCTAAAATTTAAGAAGTTCAAAGAAGCTTTGATAGAGCTAGCTAGTTAGCACATTAAGGTATTTATGCATTTTCAATTTGTTTATTTTTGAGATTTTGGTGATATATTATTTTGTTGTGTTGTTGTTGATATATTATTTTGTTAAATATGTATTTTGTAGTAGAATATATATTTTTAGATAGAGTTAATAAAAATATGTATTTTGATAGAGTTAATAAAAATAATTTTGTAGAGTTAATAAAAATAGTTTTGATAGAGTTAAATATGTATTTTTAATTTTGTAGAGTTAATAAAAATAAATTTGTTAGAGAATATGTATTTTGATAGAGTTAATAAAAATAATTTTGTTAGACAATATGTATTTTTAATTTTAGTTAGCAGGTTAAATATATATTTTGATAGAGTTAATAAAAATAATTTTGTAGTAGAATATATATTTTTAGAATATATATATTTCGAATTAAAAACATAATATATATAAACAGAATATTTATTAGAAACAAATTAAATATGTAATATATTTTTAATTTTTAAAAACAGAATATTTATTATGTTAGAAAAAGTAGTAGATATTTTAAAAATAGTTTTAGTAAACAATATTGTAAATAGAAAAAATTAAAAGATATTTTTTACAAAATATAAAGAATATGCATTATATTTAAAATGTGCTATTTTTAAATGTATTATTTTTTGAAAAAGTATTTTTATTAGAGCATCTTTAGTGGGAGTAAACTAAATGGGTAAACTAAAATACTTTTTGTGGGCCCAAAGTGATTTGTAGGATTTAAAAAATTTATAGTTGATATGAGTAGTTTTTACTTTAATGGTGGTTGTCTATAAGAAACCAAAACTTGACCCCACATGGTATTAAATGGTTAATAAAAATCTATTATTTATGTTAAATAATTAATAAAAATCTATTATTTATGTTAAATAATGAGTTAGAGTACGTTGCTTGTGTAGAGCGCGTAAACTAGTTTTAGAGCATCCCATATGCCATGTCAGCACTACTATAATGCAAATTTCTTATTACTAACGTAAGCTATAAAGAATTTTGGTTTAACAACCCTGCACTAAAGTTGCTCTTAAAAAATAATGAATATATATGTATTATATATATTTTAAATGTGTTATTTTTAGTAAACCAATTATATTTTCCCATGTGATTCTCACGTCACTAATTAGTGACATGGGATGCACTTCACTATAAAATTTAATAATAATAAATAATAAATATTATTAACTGAAAACAACTATAAAACTAAAATATATTTTCCCATGTGATTCCCACGTCGCAAATTGTGACTAGTGAATTGATTTTTAGCTTAGTGACGTGGGAATCATTTGGGAAAATGCAATGTTTCTTGTAGTGATAATTCATAATTGTATCGATCGTTTCATTTTCCCGTTTCATATAATTTTCACAATATAAAATAACAAAACTTATTAAAATTTTATTGACTCATAATATAATTCATAATTGAACCAGTAGTTTTATTTATCACGTTTCATATAATTTACGCGATATGAGAAAATAAAATTTATTAAAATTTTATTGACTCACTACCTATTTAAACCAGTAGTTTCATTTTTTTTGTTTCATATTATTTTATACGATATAATAGTACTCAAATGTATTTTGAAAGCAATATTCAAAATAAATTTTAAAATTAATTATATTTTATATTTTATTCACGTGCATTTAATTTAAGTAATTGTATAATAATATATATTAATTTTATAAATAAAATTAATTTTACATTAATATATATTTATTTGAATCATTATTGATAATAACTAAGATTTAAGATTTATTTAATAATAGAAAAAGATTATCGTTAGAATATCATGTTAGAATATATATATATATATATATATATATATATATATATATATATATATATATATATATATATATATATATATATATATATATATATATATATATATATATATATATATATATATATATATATATATATATATATTAGGGATGACAATGAGCAGGATATTATTTGCAGGGTACTATAATATTCATCCACATATCTACGATTTGAAAAAATCATCGCACCCGAGTCAATACCCGCTTGAGCTCCAAAATTAGCACTTGTACTTGTGCTTTATGGGTATGTAAGTACTTATATTCGTATTCGTACTCGTTACCCGTAGTCTTATTAAAAATAAATAAATCAATTATAAAAAATCATATCATTTTAAGTTTTTCAAACCATTAAAATGTTTTGAAGAATTTTATTGTTAAAATAAACAAACACTTATATTAAATACGTAATAGTTTAACATTGATATACTTTTTTAAAATGAGAGACATAAATTTTTATAAATAATATAAATTAAAATATATAAATATATATTGTGCGAGTATGGGGCAGGGTGGGTACCAAGGTGCCTATCCTCGCACTCATACCCGCTTATTTTTATGGCTAATTGTCTGATCATGTGTCTGTACCATTTTTGCAGGTTT